GTTCAGATGACCATATGGTTTTTTTGTCAAAACGCATTTCGAATTCAGTGATACACATCATATGATATATGCATCAGAAATGAATTTTGAAATACCCCAGAACAAAATGGTTCATAAGTTTTTTTAGATGTATTATATAATGGCAGTAATGATCATTAAAAGAACCACTTAAAATACGTTAACGGTTACAGGGATAGAGTGCTGAAATGTAACTTCATATTGACGTCATTGATATTTTTTGGCGGCAATAGACAAAACTTAAATTTTGTACATCGTAATTATTTTAAATGCATTCAATTTCAGTTCTAAGACAAAAGGTAAAAAGAGGTATTTTTGTGTGAAATATTGTTGAAACATTTAAAAATGAAGATATTTAGTATAACTTGTGTCATTACCTTTGGATCCACCCTCGTATAATCACGCCTACTTTAATTTATAGCTTCGAAAGATGATTTGTAAAAACCGTATTGTGAATTTGCTGACAAGTTAAAAATTGAGCACAAAGAAATTTGCGTAATATCCTCATTTTTCTTTAACGAAATTATAAGGTAGAAACAGAAAGAAATAATTTTATACCATAATTGAAAAAAAATCAATTATAGAAAGCCAAAATTGATCACAGCGACCATAACAAGATAAATCGACAGATAGAGGAGGCAGTGATAGATATAATCAAAAGGGAAAATAACAAAACATTGATCGATCTAAATAAAATCCAACAAACAAAACTGATCTGTGTACAGTACATAAATCGTGGGAATTCTGGGTAATCCAGAGGTAGGATCATGTGTCTAGGAGAAGAAAGCATTCCCTATTGACCAGTGTCACACGCCTTTACCACTATATATGGTGTTATGATAGTCAAATCTAGTAAAGAAACAGTCATTAAATTTGGAAGGAATACGTAGTCTAGTATGTCGGTATAAAAGACCCAGTAGAAGTTTATATTTGCTTGTACCTACTATAGTTATATTTTTAACTTACTATATAGAATTGCACGAAATTCCAACTTCAAATGTGATTATTTAACTTCCTGGATTATCACAAGGACCAAAGAAAATCTTTGAAGTCAAAACAATGAAAATGATGAAAGGAATATAATTATATCTTCAACAAGAAAATTTTGTACTAAAATTTTTGGAAAAAACGCCAGTGTTTTGAAGTTGATTGTAAATGTGTAGGAAAGCTGAATGATGGTGTAAATATGATTAGAAATTAACTTGATTTGGTTTCACAGGATCCAAGTTCATTCCTTTATTTAAAGCATTGCATTCAGATGTTTTTTTAACAAATTTTTCAGCTCAAAGAAAAAACAGAATTCAAATATTTTTGTGGCATAAAAAACTTCATCACCAAAGAGGGATAACTTCTGAACTGTATGCTTGTTGCACAATTGCATATTTTTGTTACATGGGAACTGTGAGGCGTGTTTTGTTATCACTGGTATAACTACAAGAGCAACAATCCTGCATGAACTCCGAATGTACCCTCTTACACTTGCCTTTTATAGTTTCTTTTGCTCCTATGTATCAATTTCGTATTCTGTCTGAAAATGACTTTTCTCGAGAGAATGAACTTTTGCTCTGCAACTAAGTTTGGAACTATTGTTCTGGAACTAAGTTTCAGACACATGAATAAAATCGATGCACCAACACATAAACTGAACAACCCCCTTACTTTCAAAAAGTATAAAATGAATCTACTACCTTCTTGCATTTGGTTTCAAAATAAGAGTATTTGCCAAAACACTCATAAAAAACAAAGGATAATCGGATAAACCGACCATTCAAAGATGGTTTATTTTTCTTTCCAGTCCAACACAAATCTGGTCTGTTGGTCGTGAAGGAAAAATCATTTTCAAACATGTAGTCTTTCAGTCCTCAAAAAGTAAAGAGATTTGAAATACAAGAAAGTATATTGATTCCATTATCTGAATTCCCCATCATGGGCATCATCTCCTGCACATTCTTGATATAGAGGGCACATTGCTCTTTATAATACTGTAGAATAATCACTGTGGCATTTTGGTTTCAGGAACAAGAAAAGGAATATTTCCAGAGGTATATGTTATTAATTTTCAACACAAATGATTCAGGCAAAGGCCAAGGCCTTAACTCTGCATCTCGGGATTAAGAATTTCACATTTTGCACGGGTAAAGGAAAACTGCGTATCATAAGTGTTATTCGTGCCCGGGACGTCATTGCATGGGTAACTTGTAGATAGGAAAGGTTCAATTGATAAATATGCAGGGAAAATAAGTTTTCATGGAGTTGTAAAATATTAGTTCATTGAGAAGGATGACCAACGAAATCGACGGACTTTGGTCCACAAATAACATTTATGATTCAACAGTATATCTATTTATTTTATTTTATTTATTTTTTTTTTTTTTTTTTGAAATTCATACATGAATGCGTTATTCAAAAACGACAATACCGGTTCTGTTTAAAAAAATTCAAAAAGATGAAATGAGTGATTTTCAAGACAATTAGGTTCAATTACTTGTTGTACAAACATTTTAAAAATACACAGCATATTGAAAAAGCTAAGCAAAAGAATCAGTGCTTAAGAATATATGCAAGGTACCTTACCTACTGATAATTTTCAAGATATTCCAAATTTAACATTATAGTACCATTATTAGTAGAATTAGACCAAAAATCCGGCAAACAGATATTAAATTATGAAATTTTTTCTTTAATCATAGAAAACTGAATGTACATAAAAATTACTAAACATAAATTCCAGATTTCTTTTTTCATTAAAATGTGTTGAAGAAGAAGTGTGTACAAACCCAAATTTAGACATTAAAAGTATTGCACACAGGTCTCCTGAATTTATTCAACTCCAGGGAAGAATCTAATAAAGTTCAAACTACGTGTACGTTGCGTATGTCCTTAAAGGTTTTTTAAAGAAATAGAGCCATATTGTATTATAAGATATAATTTAAAAACTAAATTAAAGTATATCATTATTATGTAATTTTTAATGAATGAACATTTTGATTTTTTTTCAAATCTTTGGAATATTTTGAAGTTGAATTTTTACAATCATTTTTAATCGAAACAATTCAAACTACGATGACATGGGCTTTGTTTTGAAAATTTTTAAAAGTTCCTGCCGAAATCGAGGTCCAGTCAAGCAATAAAGAAAGAAATGGATGGTATTGTTTGTATATTGAAGCATATTGGCGATCGCCCATATCAACTCCAAAACAGCGGTTCCGTGGCCCGTGGCGTCTTGGATTTTTTTGGGGTATACGACAAGGTAGATTGCTATCGGTAAAGTTAAAATCAAAAAGACATAATTCGTCGTCAGTAACATTGTAGTGACACTCGTAAAATGTTTCGAATGTACATTTGAATGCTGCACGTCACTTCCGCTATGTTGCATATGGGATGCAACACGCCTTTGTGACATAAGTAGATGTTTTATAATAAGTATGTTTGCTATTATCATGAGATTAAATGGAATGATGCTAAAAATACAAGAATCAATCCAAGGCCAGGTAAACTTTGTGAAATCGTTCATAAATGCACAACTCAATTTTCCAAACTTCATCTCAACGGCAACACCCCAGAAAAGATGGAGGTTCAGAGCAGTCATTATGAGAGCGATACAAACCACCACGATCTTAGCATTCTTTAAGGTGCAAATACCCTTCGCTTTAAAAGGAAGACAGACAAATACACATCTGTCTACAGTCACTGCCACTAGCACCCACGTGGTAAAATCCAAGGAAAAATAGACAAGAAATGTGTGTGTCTTACAGGAAAATTGCGATATCACACGGATATCTGTGTCGAAGGTCCATTTTATCCAGTATCGAAGTAAACCGGTATAGAGCACCATCATATCGCCAAACGAAAGCACTGTTAGGTAAAACATTGTTGTTGAACTGCGCATCTGTTTGCGCAACAGCACTATAATTGACAGTGAGTTGGCAACGGTTCCAATGAACAGCAGAATGGGTGACATATAAATCCAGATGTGTTCGGCAGCTTTATACTCGGAATGCGTCTTGTAGGAAGTTACACCGTGTTCTGAGGAATTGTTCATTTTGTTGGACACTATTCCAAGCACGATCCTGCAACTAAAATGAAATAAGATATTTAATCTTTAAATCAAATTTTAAACAGATAACTTATGAAGCTACTATAAAAAAAAAGAGTTCATTTTGGTGAATACGTTAGTCGTTGGTTGATCTTAGTATAAAGAACATGTTTGTTGTTATTAACATATGAAACTTAATATATACAATTAGATAGACAAATGGATTAGAGTAGGTATATTCTCTGAAACTATCACAAAAAGGACTTCATTTTTTATGACCAGTACCTACCCCAGATTGAAGTTCAATAGAGGAATTTTAAGTATGATTTATCTTAAGATTTCAAAACATTACCCTTTTCCCTCATCAATGACGCCATGTGAAGGGGAAATTTAAAGGGGAAAAAATCAATTTTATTTCTAACACGCCATTTGATTGGATAAAAGATTTTTATTTCATATCGTATAGCATAAATTGCCCATGTCACAATGAGTTACGTCAAAAACGTCTCACTACGTTTGACGTTATGTAAATATAAAAAATATTTCAATTTTAAGTTTACTTTGGGAGGTCAACAGTGAAATTGATTTAAAATTAAATTATAAGGAATGAAGCTGTACAAGCTTATTTTAACCTATTTATACGTAACATAACCTATGAGGCTACAGAGACGATTATTTATAAAAGTTTCGGCCCCAAGTTATGTTATATCGTATAACATAGGTAACAACCAAGCTCTATGATAAACGTGATGCCATTAACTTTTCTATCGTCAACTTCCCTTACCTATGCAGCAATATACCTTCATCACCTGCATACGGAGTTTATACATCTCAGTTGATTTGGTGCGCAAGAGCATGCTCTGCGTATGAGCAATTTCTAATACGAGGTAAATTGTTGACAAACAAGTTGATGAAACAAGAATATCAGCAGTCTCGTTTAAAGTCATCATTTCGTACATGTAAGTTCTATACAATGACGATACAATGACCTTCTCAGCAAATACAATTTATCATTGATCAAATGCTTGACTAATACCATTTCATACTTAATTATTGTTTGCGCGGAACCTTGACCTGGACCTCCCTCGGTCTTGGATGGGAATGTTCAGTTTAAGACTTGTTGTTATAACCACGACCGCGTCCCATATTATTTGTACACTGAATTGACGACGGATTTTTCCTTTGTTTCCCGAACATGACAAGGAGCACACGGCCGGTGTGACCGGTCAGCTTCCATTCCTACAAATTATCTGTTCCCATCTATGGAATATCAAGGGGTACGTACAGTGTATAAATTATGGACTAACAATTAGTATGAAAAACGTTTATCAGCATTTGACTCAATGATAAATTGTATTTGCAGACAAGGTCATTGTATCGACCATAGAAACTACGAAATGATGAATTTTAACGAGACTGCTGACATTTTTGTTTCATCAACTTGCTTGTCAACAATTTACCTCGTTTTAAAAATTGTTCATACGTAGAGGATGCTCTTGCGTATCGAATCAACTGAGATATATACACTCCGTATGCAGGTGATGAAGGTATATTGCTACATAGGTAAGGGAAGTTGACGATTGAAAAGTTACAGTCATTACGTTTATTATATGGCTTGGTTGTTAGATTACCATTAACGCCTTTTTCAAGTAAAATATCCAAGTATGAAACAGATGAGTCAGACCCTGCGGTATCTTCTATCTCAGGCTCACCAGGATATATCGTATCGACGTAGGAATGGAAATTACCATTGTTAATTGACAATACGTCACTCGATATATCTATTTGAATTGAAGGCCACAGCAAGTGTTTTCTTATTTTCATGCATAAGATTTTGCACAAATTCTGCTTCATACGAATATAAAAATAGGTCTGCTGATAATGGAGCGCAATTGGTACCTTTTTGATTGTTGGAATACTGTATTTTAAAAAACACATATTAGATATTATTATAGTTCTGTTAAAATGTTTCCTATATAAAGTTAAGAAGGTAAAATAAGTATCTTTTATAGTTCACGCATAGCAAAGCTATTCCCCGGGCTATAGTTTTTGCTATCCACCCTCGGAAAATTTCCATGCAATTTTTTGCCTCCAATTTGATTTCCAGCGATAAAAATATTTTTTGTCATAATGACTTTTTAGCATTATGACGTCATCAAGGATTTCAGATTATTCTTGCAGTATTATCTTACTCCAAAAAATTCAAACCTCAGAAATTATATTATACATCAGTATAATAAAACGCTTATCGACTGGTTATGAAAAAAGACTTTTATTATCAAACCCTTGAACATTCCCCTTCAAGCCCTCGGGGAAAGTTTGTCGCGGGTTTGATAAAATTTGTATCCCACTCACAGCCAATATTATATTGTCAATCAGAAACTCAAGCATCTATTTGATGTCAACTTCAGAGTACTTGTGTGTGCAATCAGAATGTGTTTTTACAATCAATCTTAACCATTAAAGCAAACCTATTAGGCATATTTTTTTACCGATGATTCGTTTTTGGCATTAATTCGTAGAATGAAATTGCCCAAAGTAAAAAAAAAACACAAAGAAATAATTGCACATTGGATTAAGGCGTCTATCTGGGCATTACAGATAAAACCATTTGAATGGAAAACTGGTATGTAAGGATAATTTTTGCTTAATTTACTTTTTAGATAAAAGCATGAATTTCGATCTTGCAGCAACCATCAATAACACTTTGATAGTTCAGGGGAGGGAGAAAAGAAAAACGTGAACTACGATTGTAAGAACCACAGAAAGCTACCAGTAGAAAAAATTTTCTGCATATCTTCGTATTTTATTTTACTTTTAGGAAGTACAATTGTACGGAAGCCTGTTGAGGCCAGTTCAGAGAGAGAAATATTTTTTATTGCGTTTAAACGCAATAATTATTGCCTTTAATCGCAAAACTTTGCGTTTAATCGCAATAATTATTGCGTTTAATCGCAATAATTATTGCGTTTAAACGCAAAACTTTGCGTTTAATCGCAATAATCATTGCGTTTAAACGCAAAACACTTTGCGTTTAATCGCAAAAGATTGCGATTAAACGCAATCTTTTGCAATTAAACGCAATAATATTGCGTTTAAACGCAATAATTATTGCGTTTAAACGCAAAAATATTTTCGCGTTTAAACGCAATAATATTTTCGCGTTTAAACGCAATATTTTTGCGTTTAATCGCAATAATTTTTGCGTTGAAACGCAATCATTATTGCGTTTAATCGCAATTATTATTGCGTTTAATCGCAATCATTATTGTGTTTAATCGCAATAATTTTTTGCGTTTAATCGCAATAATTATTTGCATTTAAACACAGTAATTTGTTGCATTTAAATGCAATACTCTTTGCATTTTCTCGCAATAATCCTTCCTTTTAAGGAATCATTTTGCATTTAACCACAATAATTCAGTGCTGTAGTTTGAAATCAAACATCGGCTAGCCAAAAATTATTATGAATACTATGGTCTGATTCCTTAAAGAAGAACCGTTTAGTTCTGTGTCTTATTGCAAAATGTTGCAGTGTGTGAGATTTGAAGTTTAACAATGGCACCCTAAGTAAACAACCAGGGTTTCCTAAACCTATTAGAATCCAACACTTTTAAAGTAGCCATTAATAAATTCGTTAGGTATCACAGCAAATTAAGAATGTTTCAGTCGTATTAATAGCCATATCAGTTTGGTAGTACAAATCGATCAATCTGTTTTCATTTGATTTATTTTTGATTTCATAAGATTCCATCTCCTTAATTTTCGTGTTCTCGTGTTTACTGTATGTGATCAAAGGAAAGGTTGTGAATATACAGGAACATGCTTAAGCTTTGTTTCATTCTAGGGCTGTCTTTGTTTTTACAGACCGACACCTCTTTCTCCTCTTAAATCCATATCAATGATTTAATCATTCAGAAAATGCTTGTTCAGAAGAATCTGATTCTATAATGCTTAACAATACACAATTCTCCTCATAGGTTAATGTACAAAAGAAAAAAGAAACGAATATCAGCGTGGATCCATTGCACCCTTCAAAAATCAATAGAAATGATTGCTTTTAAATACAAAGATTATTGCGTTTAAACACAAAAATTATTGCGTTTAATCGCAATATTATTGCGTTTAATCGCAAAAGTATTGCGTTTAATCGCAATATTATTGCGTTTAAACGCAAAAATTAATGCGATTAAACGCAAAAGTTATTGCGATTAAACGCAAAAAGTATTGCCATTAAACGCAAAAATATTATTGCGATTAAACGCAATAATTATTGCGTTTAATCGCAAAAGATTGCGTTTAATCGCAATCTTTCGCGATTAAACGCAAAGTGTTTTGCGTTTAAACGCAATGATTATTGCGATTAAACGCAAAGTTTTGCGTTTAAACGCAATAATTATTGCAATTAAACCCAAAGTTTTGCGATTAAACGCAATAATTATTGCGTTTAAACGCAATAAAAAATATTTCTCTCTCTGAACTGGCCTCAACGGGCTTTCGTACAATTGGTTTGTTGCTTATATTAATTTTTGAAATCGTTAAACATTTTTTTTAAAAAAAGACAACAGTTCAAATAATTTTTTTTTTTTTTGATTATTGCAACAAAATATTTTAATCAGAATTTAATTTATTGGAACAAATTCAAAACAAATGGATAAATGGGCGCCAGAATTTAAAATTAAAGATGTCATTAATTTAATTATATACAGAGATCCTAAATGGAATTGTTGCGCACAGCAAATGAAGATATTTTCATTTGTTTTTTAAAGACTCTAGTACAATTATTTCAGCTTATTTAAACCCGGCCGATTCTCCTCTCTGAAACATATTGGTAGTCTCATGCTGACAGTATCGATTTGATGTATGCCTAATTTTGGTTAATAAAAAGAGATTAATCAAAGCAAAGACATGAGTGATCTACTTTGACGAGAGTAATTTGAAACATTTCTCACAACCTCTCGCGGAACCTTAAAACTTGCTGTACAACTTAGAAATTAAGGGAAATGCGCCATGATTGCTCCTTCCCTTGGCGG